TATCATTATGTTGCCTGTTGGTCCACTGGTGAGAACTTTTGTTTTATGTTAAGATGCAGTCCATATTGAAGGCTTTGATCTTCTATAGCATTTCAGGTCCTCCTCACTTTCACCAAACCAAGTTGTCTCATCTGCATAACATAAGGTTGATGTTAGTATTCCTCCGATCCTGATGCCACATTCTTCTTCAAAGACCAACTTCACAAATTATTAGCTGAGCATACAGATTGAATATGTATGGAGAAAGGATACAACTCTGATGCACACTTTTCCTGATTTTAAACCTTGCAGTGTTTCCTTGATGCATAGTGACCTTGTAAAAGAGTGGAATCACCCCTTCAAGTTTCTGAGCCTGTAAATCTTAACAGGAGCGGACTTTCTTCCCCAGGGCTGCTGCAATATTTTGGTTAGCAGCCAACACTTAACCCCCTATGCCATCAAGGCACCTTGAAAATATGAACATGATAGCGCTTTTTCTTGGGAAGGAGGAAGGAAGTAAAATGGAAAACACCATTTATTCAAAAACAAAATAATCTGAAGTAGGTTAACAATGATTAAATCTAGACAATGACACCATCGTTCTTAATTTTAAATAACAGGATCTACTCTAGTTTTATATTTTTAAGTGACTCGCAGGCCTTATGCTTGGTGTTCAGGTAAGAACTGTAAAAAAATGCTGCTTACACCTCAGAACAGCTACAGGAAAACAATACTGAGAATACCCACACCATGCACGTGAGGGTTGTCATGCTCAGTACGGCCCAACACAACAAATCCTGTATGCTGTCTTCACAACACCCTTCCACATAAAAATTTCCAGTTGAGCCCTGGTGAGCTAGGTTAAGTGCCTTGGGCTTACCTTTGGGAAAGGTTAGCAAATTAAGGTTCCCTCTTGTACTTCTAAGAGGGATCTATGGTGGCCTAGTGATAAAAAACTGCACTGCAATCCCATTAGCACATAGTTCAAATCCACCAACTGCTCCACAGGAGACGAATGGGCAATTTCTTCCAGTGTGATTTATGGCCTCTGAAAACCTGCTGGGCCAGCTCTGAGTCAGTTCTGACTTGATGGCACACAACAACAAAATTGTACTTACAGAGTTAAAACTTATCATACAGAATTCAGCACACACTAGATGTTCAAACAGTGCTTGGTGCCCCCCTCTCAATGTTATGAAAAATAGCTATTCAAATAAGAATTTTGTTAAATCATTCCCTGTACTTTTTTGGAAGCAGGAGTGGCATCTACTTCTTGAACAACATGCCTCCAGAAAATCTATGAACTTTGATAAATGTTGATAGTTATACAAGGGTTTCAGGCCTTTTGTTCATAAGGTCGCTATGAGTCATGCTTGAGTCAAAGGCAATCAACAACTTTTCTGCAAGCTCTTAAGATTTCCCAATTTTTAAAGGAATGAAATATTTAACAAAGTAGGATTCTGCAGCAAACCTAGGGAATGGAGAGAAAATCATCAGTAGAAAGTTTAAATAATGGCTATCTCCTCCTCCTCTGAAACATTGGAGGGTCAGCTAGGAGTTGGTTATGACTCCATGGTACATACAACAATAAAATAATAGAGGATGTCAGTACTTAGCATACAAGTGGAGGCAATTCTATCAAACAGTGCCCAGTTGGGCTAGAGAAACTCAAGAGATCATAGAAGGAAGACACATTCAATGCAGTCTAGTCAACTGACTCAGAACTGCCCTATCGGGTTTACTACAGGATTATAAATCCTTTCAGGAGCAGGTTGCTCCATCTTTAAGTTACTGTATAGATTTGAACTGTTTCAACCATTGCATCACCAGGGCTCCTAGAAGACAGAGGGCTAAAAATTAAGAGACCAATTAAAAGTCTGTGTATAAACAAATTGACTTCTTCCCTCTTTAACTCATCTCCAAATTCTGAAGCGCCTGAATTAAAAAAAAAATCCAGAAAATCTTGATCCAGGTAAAATATTGGTGATACCATTTAGAAAATGAGGACAAGAGCTTCCTAGAAAGAAGTAGGGCAACCAGTATTGACAGTGGTAGCCAAAGATATAGATCTCTTCATTCCAGTATTTAGAAAATCCCCGGCCAGATTCATCTACTCCTTTTCAGTGTGGAGCCAAACCTTGCCCTTATCACACTGCCACTCAACCTGCCTAAATGAACATTTTCAACTACAACACTGACAATCAGAAATGACAACAGTCAAAAAAGCCTGAGACATGGAGCACTAATATAAGCCAAAAAATCTGTTACCAGCGGTAAAAGATAATTCAAAGACTAAAAAAATGAATGAATGAAAAAAAAAATGATAACTCTTATCTGTTGTCTTCAGAGTCACATACACTGCATCTATTAAAACGGGATATGATGAACAAGAACTGAAGAAAGTGCTTTCATAAATTAAAATAGACTTGACATATTAAGTTCAAGAAAAAGATTAGAGGATAAATGCAAGATAAATGAGGAAAAGGAAATGTTATATGCCATGAGTTGACTGTAAGGAAGCAGATCTGAACCTTGCCCTGCCCTGCACCATCACTTACATACTTGAACTCATTGCCAGTCACTTTGTAAAATCATCTTGTTCAGGGTCATCCTCACTTTCTGATCCTCTGTCTTTCCCTGCATAAAGTCTTTTTCCAAGGACTTCTGACAACATGCCCAAATTACGTGAGATGAATTTCCACTATTCTTGCCTCTAAGGAGCACCCTAGTTGCACGTCCTTCAAGATAGACTTGTTCTTTTGGCAGTGCATGGGATATTCAGTATTCTTCACCAGCCTCACTATTTAAAGGCATTACTTCTTCTGTCGTCTTCACTCACTGTCTAACTTTCAGATAGCAGAGAAAATAAAAGAGCTAATTTAAAAAAAAATCTAAAATCCAAAAGAGAAAGGAAGGAAAAAATAATTTTGTACAACTAGTCACACACTCTGATTACCATCAGGTCAGAATCAACTCATAGTGGATTTTTAGTGGGTTGATGAGTCTTTAAGCCCCATAGAAGACACTGTCTACTTTTCTTCAGGGCCACTGGTAGATTTGAACTGCCAGAAAGACTTAGCCTTTAGACTTCATTTTACATACCAGGCATGTTGCTAGGAGAGGCTATTCCTTGGACGGGGACATGATGCTTGGAAAGGTGGAAGGTTGGTGAAGAAAAAGGACACTATATCAGGTGGACCTTTCTTCTTCATACGTTGTTCCATTTCAAAGAAAGGTGATCCAACAGAGTGTGGAAATTATCGAACAATGCCATTGATATTACATGTAAGCAAGAATCTACTGAAGATTATCCAAAAATGACTGGGAAACATCAACAGAGAACTGCCTGAAATGTAGGCTGGGTTTAGAAGAGGCTGTGGTACTAGGTATATTACAGCTAATGTCAGATGGATCTTGGCCAAAAGCAGATAGTACTAGAAGAATGTCTGAGTTTCATTGATTATGCAATGGCATTTGACTGTGTAGATCACACTAAACTGTGGCTGACTCTAAGAATGGGAATCCCAGAACACTTGATTGTGCTTATGCGAAACCTATACTTGGACCAGGCGGCATTAATCAGAACAGAGCAAGGAAATACTGCATGGTTCAAAATTGGGAAGGATGTGTGCCAAGGATGTGTCCTATCTCCCTATCTTTTCAATCTATATGCAGAACAGATTATCCAGGAGGCTGGGCTCTATGAGGAGAAATGTAGCATCAGGATTGGAGGTGGACTCATCAACAATCTATGTTATGCAGATGATACAACCTTCCTTGCTGAAACTGAGGAGAACTTGAAGTACCTGCTACAGAAGGTCAAGGACTGCAGCCTGATACACGGATTGAAGCTCAACATCAAGAAAACAAAGATTCTTATCACTAGGCCAACTGGCAGCATCAATGATGAATGGTGAAGAGATTGAGGTTGTTGACAGCTTCCATTTGCTTGGCTCTACAATCAAGACTCTTGGTACCACGAGCCAGGAAATTAAAAGATGAATTGGTAAAGTCAGCTGTCAGATCCTCCTCCAAAGTACTGAAGAACAATGATGTCAGTCTGGAGTCTAAGGTGCGCCTGATGCAGGACATGGTCTTTGCAATTACTTAGTATGCATCAGAAAGCTGTACACTGACTAGGGATGATAGAATTGATGCCTTTGAGCTGTGGTGCTAGAGAAGAGTACTGAATATACCAAGGACTGCTAGGAGAAGAAACAAGTTCATCCTGGAGAGAGTGAAGCCAGGCTGCTCCTTGGAATCAAGGATTCTGAAGCTTCATCTGACATATTTTAGACATATTGCCAAGGAAGAACCAGTCCTTGGAGAAGGACGTCATGCTTGGGAGGATGGAGGGACTGCGCAAGAGAGGAAGACTCTAGATGAAATGGGGAGATTCAATGACTGGGATAATGGGTGGTAGGTGTATCAGAGACATTAAGATTGGCACAGGATAGAGCAGGATTTAGGGCTGTTGTATATAGGGCCACTATGAGTCACAGGTGACTCAACGGCTCATAACAACATCAAGTGAACTGACACAGTGATTGTCACAATGGCTTCTAGTGTGTCAGGAAGTGTAAGGATAACACAGAATAGGACAGGGTTCATAGGGTCGCTGTGGGTCATACTTGACTTGGCAGCACCTAACAACAATATAATTTGTTTTAGTGCTTAGAGAAAGGAAAGAGTAGTATAATCTTCATAAATGCACTCACACACTATATTTAAAAAGTGTTTCTTTTAATTTATTAGACATATTTAAATTTTAGCACGTTTCTATTATAGATGCACTTTCTTCTGTAGGTTTCTATGTAGATGCTCTTTCCTCTGTAGGTTTATGTGTAGATGCACTTTCCTCTGTAGGTTTATGTGTAGATGCACTTTCCT